TTAAAAATGTACTAGTCCCCTACACATCTACACATGGAGTGTTTGGCTTTGGCAATGTAAAATGGTTTGACTTATGGTGCCTACTTTTTCCCTTTTATTCTCCATACTTTGTTAGTGCCCACAAAGAAAGGATTTCTCTAAGAACGGAAACCTAAAGAAGTTAATTTGTATGCTTCCCATTGTTGTTGAGTGTAAGTGGTTCGATTTGATCGATTTTTTACAATTATTCAAATTAAACTATTTAATACGGTTTGAGAAAAATTCAAAAATAAACCAAATCATTTTAAATGAGTCAACAAGCTGCTGACACTTCAGTTTGTTTTTTCCCCCGGCTTCTCTCCTTTTTGTTTATCATCCTTTTTTTGAAAAACAATATAAAATTAATTACGAACAAAACTAATGAAAATTCTCAATAAAACCATTGGTACCATCTGCGTCGGTGACTTGAGAGTGAAAATAAATGATATTGTCGAATTTTTTAGTTCCAAAAATGGTTGTGATGTGAAGATTGAAGGGAAGAGATAATGTGGCTCAAAGAACGGCTTACTATGAAATGAAAGAGAAAAGAGGCGTGCAGTTCTACTGTTTATTATGTTGTTTAGGTAATCGGTTGGAATATATGATTGGCCGTTAATTTCAAAGTAGATCTTACTTGAAATAAAAATTGGGTCCATTATCCCTACCTGCCGCCCACCCAACGCCTTGTGCTTATATTACCAAACAATTTGCATGTTGGCGCACGTACACCGCAACCACACGCCATAGTATTGTGTACAAACATTTATTAAGCAAAATTAAACGAATATTTTACCATTAATTAGAAGACACAACATTTGTCATTTGATTATTGAAAAAGACATCGTGATACCGTGAGACTAAAAAAAAAAAAATTAATCCTAACTAATATGTAAAAAAAGTAAAAAATTTTGCATGAAAAAAATTACATAAAATTTTATTTTTTTTACACATCAATCCATTAGTGTCAAGGATTAATTTTTCGTGTGTTTTTCTTATATATTTATCTTTATCAGAGATGATTACTAGTTTAAATATTACAAATTAGTATAAAAAAATCATCTTCAAAACTTACAATTTTCAACGGTGGTTCATGGTTGTTAATTATACTAAAGTCTTCCATTTGTATTTTTAACCATAGTGGAAAGGCAAAAATAAATAAAAAAGGAAGAGTCGAGTCCTAGGCCTAGCAGCACTCAATTTGACAAGGGTACAAACTGAATCCTAAGCCGGTGAAGTACATTAGAATACATTGATTAGACAGCTACTATGCTGATGACTTTAGCACGTTTACATAGTTGATAAATGTCCTTCATACATGTGTATTATCGTAACATTATATTCATTTATGTATTTTGCTAGATGGATAGGCCACGTCTATCCAAGGCATTGAATTGCTCCCCTCGGCAATGGGGGGCGTCAGTTAGGACCCTGGTCCAAACAGAATTACCCTTTTGCCTTTTGTCTTGTATTTACGTGTGTGTTTAAGCCACATTATTTTGAAATAACGTATCTTGAAATAGTAGATAGATGGAGAATGTATGGTTATAAAATAAAAAAAAATTTTAAATTTACGTGTAATATTATTTTATTGAAGAATATATGGTCGAAATAATATCAAATCACTGTTTAAGAATGTATTTTTTTAAAGAATGCAGCTCAAACAGGTCCTACATATAGAGGTTTGTTTAACAAAATTTTTAAAAGGTCGAGAATATTTATAAGATTAAGAAGTTATTTTTGGAGAGTGTGGGGTTAAAAATTAAAAAAAAAATCTCAATTTATGTATATTATTATTTTATTGGAGAATATGTGGTTGAAAATAAGTTTTGAGAAAAAAAATGAATTTTTGATAAAATGGAATTCAAATAAGGGTTTAATTTTAATCAAGAGCTATTAATTTTACATTGAACAAAAGTAGGTGTAGATGCGAGGGTACATTCATCTACTATTGGTAGGCAAAATTCTAACCGTGTTTTCTTGATCTCGTCTGATAAATATGGTTTCATTGGATTTGAATGTTGTTGAATATGTCCTTCTTTGATTCACCTATGTACGGTTGATTTCAACATATCAAAAGCGTTCGATAAAGATCTTATATTTGTTTGACGACGGAAAGAGACATCCTTCATTAGTTCGAATTGTATTTTCGACTCTCTTTTGACATCTCCTATTTAATATCCTAGAAAAGAAATCCGGTACATCACTATTCGTAGTACTAAAATATTTTCCGTCATGCCAAATTCTAGAAACTGATCTAGTAGATATAGAAAACGAGTTGGCAACTTTCAAAGTGACTCCTTTTGCTAACATTTTGTCTTGTCGTTTGTAGATTAATGTCTCAAGAACTGTTCTTCTTGTATCACAGGATAAATTTTTTTCTTGTTTGAATGATGCATATTGTTAGCCACTGTGTCGATAATGCAAAGAGAGACAACATTTTCTGGAAATTGATTCAAATCAAGCTGAAAATTCTATGGAACATTGAAATAGTTTTCAGGCGACAAATTCAAATCAATGGAAAAAGTTTTTGATGTACTATTCATGTTTTGTTTTGTACTTAAATCTATCTCTTGATCTCTATTTGTAATGTGCAATTGAAAATTTTCAAATCCAAATTGACGTATTCGGTATGAATTTGGTGGAATGGAAATTGTTTTGATCAAAAAATTTAAATTCTACTTTAAGTAGCTACTTGGTGAATATTTAATGTTTTCAGTATGAATTTGGCTCAATGGAAATTTGTTTTGATAAAAAAAAGTTTAAATTACGATTCTGGTTTTCGTAGCTAGCTGGAAATTTGACATTTTCAGTGTGAATTCTGGTGCTGATTTTAGCTTTACTTGTTTCAAAAAATTCAAGTTATGGTGCCAAATGATTCTCCTCAAATTAAATCATTCAAATCATTTACTAATTCCAACAATAATTTACTACAACATACCAAACATTAAATAGGAGTAAATTATGAAAGATCTTGACAAAAATTGATTTTTCAATGGCATTAAAGACGATTTCTTAATCTGTGTGAAAAATAAAACCAGCTTATATAATTGGGACGGGGGAGTATGTATTACACTTCATTAATCAATTGGAAGAATTGCAGTCAAGGTACCCAAACCTTTTATTTTGTTGCGGATTTGATCTAAATACTTTATTTCTACTACCGTTGGTATCAAACCTTTCAAAAATTTGCGGGCCTAATCCAATCTAACGAAAATTATTAGTTGACTAAAAGTCAATGATTTTACCAAATTTTGACTGAATTTAAAAGGTTAAAATAGTAAATTTAAATTTTCTATAATAAAATAATTTAAATAAAAAACACTTTATCTTCTTCAAAAACTGACAAACAAAAGCACTTCATCTTCCCGATTAACAAAATTTGTAAAAAAAATCCCAACAAAGGGGGACACCAAATTTTGCATTATTTTGAACCAAATTTTATACCAAATTTAGCACCAAACTAAAATTCATCTCCAACCATTACACAAAAGTTACACCAAATGAACAGTTTTTAACCATTTTCTTCCCTTTTTTTATTCTTTATAATTTATTTATTTGAAATATTATTTATTTAATTATTTTATAAATACATAAATTACTAAATAAATAATTACGTTAAATTACGAAAAAGATTAAATTCATTAATAAATATAAAAGACACGGAACAATTAATAAAAACATTACAACAACGAAAATATGAAATCAAATTAGATTATCGTATGTATGTCGTTGTTTAATATATTTCGTGTTATCTTTAATAAATAATCATGTTTGTTGTATTTTAAATTGTTTTCATCTTTTAATTAATTTATTAATTATGATGTCTTACATTTAAAATTTATTTTAAATGCAAATAATAATAATAATAATAATAATAATAATATTAATAAAAATTTATTGCATTGAAAAATATATAGCACAAATGACATAAATACCATTAACAAATTTATTTGGAAAATGTTAAATAAGAGCAAAAGAGAGATTTTACACTTCACACCATTTTAGTGCAAAGTGAAAAGTGTTACACCAAGTTGCAACATATTCACTTTGCACAATTTTAAACAAAAATGGTGCAAAGTTTGGTGTTGTATTCGAGTAACTTTGCACCAAAAAATGGTGCAATGGTGCAACCATTGGAGATGCCCTTTGGTCACCTCCAACCCTGCACCAAACTAAAATTTATCTTCAACTATTACACCAAAAGTTACACTAAATGAACGATATTTAATCATTTTCTTTCCTTTTTTATTCTTTATAATTTATTTATTTATTTGAAAATATTATTTATTTATTTATTTTATAAATACATAAATTACAAAATAAATAATTATGTTAAATTACGGAAAATATTAAATTTATTAATAAATATAAAAAATGTAGAGCAATTAATAAAAACACTACAACAACGAAAATATGAAATCATGCCATTAGAAAATAGTAAAATGCATTTTGAATTTGTATAGACGATATTACGAAGTCGCAAAAATTTTTCAATTTAATTCTCGAAATTCATATGTTCATTCCACAAATGATTGATTAATGCATTTCGAAGTTCAATGTAAGTTTCTTTATCCTCGATTTGTTTGCGTTGGTTTTTCCAATGAAACTAAGCACTTTTTTCTTTCTCATTCTATAGGCTCAGTCCCACACTCTGTCTATGACAAGCAAGGAATTTTTGAAAATGTTTCTTTGTTGTATTTTAAATTGTTTTTGTCTTTTAATTAATTTATTAATGATTATGTCTTGTATTTAAAATTTATTTTAAATGCAAATAATAATAATATTAATAATAAATAATAATTTATTATATTAAAAAAATATATATCACAAATAACATAAATACCTTTAATAAATTTATTTGGGAAATGTTAAATGACGGCAAAAGAGATATTTTACACTTTGCACTATTTTGCATC